TAATCCCATCGGATTACCCCTTCGCCCCTGACTTTTGCCTTTCTTCTGTCCCAAGGGTACTTAAGGATTACAACGCCGATTTGACTCGGATTTTCTTGTTGAACGTGTATGTACTTACTTATGTGGACGCCCAACAGGTACGCGGGTGCATCGCTGCGAGTCCCATAAGAGGATTATTTACGGTGGGACTTACACCTGTTATGTATATACATATAGGTAAGAGGAGAGCTTTTGTCGTAATTACTGCTGCTTTGGGGGAGGCGTACGCGTGAAAAAGTCAATCGATCGAAAAAAAGAAGAAAAAAAACAACAACCCAATGTAGAGGAGGAGTCGAGAAAAAGGGGGAGAGGGTACGGGACTCCCCGTGAATTCGATCGAGCAACTTATTTCGTTTTTCCAACCAAAGTCATCCGAGGCAAATGATCGGGTCGAAGACGTGAGAAGCCGAAGAGTTTCCACATGCGAGGGCCCGAGGCCACGTGAGAAAACTGCCAAACCCTTTATTTAACGACCCTTTCGCACGGGCACACAGCAAAGAAATGTTCATCATCATCATTCGAGAAAATTTGCACGTCACGCCTCCTCGGTCGTACTTCACTCGATTCGTACTATCTCTCTCTCCCTAATACATCACGCGTAGCGGACAATCGATAACTTCTGGACGGTAATCCATCTCGAGAGGAATGACGACTCTCTGCCGGAGCAAAGACGAGGTGCCAATTACCATCACCTCCATCACCATCGTATGCAGCTCATATGTATTAGGCATCACAAAGAAATACCTGATGCTGACGGCATACTTGTAAGTATTTACAAGAGGCTACAAGGATGAAAGAAGCTCCCCGAAACGGCTCTTCTAAATGGGTGTACCCAAAGTGTGCCTCGCTCTCGGCTCCCATCCTCCCCCCCCCCCTCTGTATGCGTGTGTATATGGAGAAAGAATCATAGGTCGAAAGTGTTGGCATGCCGTGGAAAAAGTGTACACATGCATAATACATATATAATGGGTATCTCTCGGTGGTCCTCGTGGGGTAAACAAAAAGGAGCTGTAGAGGGACCATCAGAAGGAAGGATGCGATTATTATACGACCATCGGGAAACGGGGCCCGATGAATTTCCGAAGAGCATGTAATATATGGGTGCACTCAACGAACGCGAACAAAAGGAGAAGGAGAAATAGATGAGATGAGCCGAGGCAGAGATAAAGCGAGGCGGCTCCTTTGGACGAAGGCGATCATTAAAAAGCCGCTACCACATACATGGCTATACTTGTACATACGCGTACATCAGGGGCAGAGCTGCGGTCCGCACGGAAACAATAAAAGCATCCACCTAACTATATATGCAGGGTGTAAGTAAGTATATATTATATATATACTTGCCAACAATGAGAGTTTGGTAGGATATATATATATATATATATATACACGCATCCTGTGTGTGAAACAGGTACAACATTGTACCGGGGGTGAGTTGTTATATGTATATGCTTGTGGTTCACTGCACGCGGGTGGTAATGAGGAACAATGTGCACGTTACAGGCCACTTGTGCAAACAAACACAATCACGAGGCTTTCGTGCAGCTGGAGCATCAGGTATACATATATACACAAGTATTATACCGGCAATGTACGTCGTCCTGCAAGGGGGCAGATTATTGCTCGGCCCGCGCGCGGATTCCGCCGCGGCCAGTCTGTATTATATTTATACATATACCACAAGAACATGTATATATATATATATATGTATGCCCGTCTATGCTGTAATATACTCCATACACTATAGGTGCAGCGATGGACTTGGGGGGTGGGGGCGATTCGCCGGTGGTCCACCGAGTTACGAGACTCCCAGCGAGGCAAAGAGAGCATAACGAGCATAAGAGAGAGATGGGCGGTCGAGGGGCAGAAAGAAGATATTTTTCGAGAATCCGTGGGAAGGATACCGGGGAGAGGGGGGGGGGGTGCGCAAGTTTCGGCCGCCCCACCTTGACGAGGGGCCCCCACCGAGGGGCCTCTTTATTCCTTTTCTTCTACCCCCGTCTTTGTTTTAGACCCGGGACTTTTTAACATTCCGAGGCATCACGGGTCGCTGGTTTTGGAGTTCGGGCCGATCTCCCTGTGGGCGCGATCTGTTCTACGCTGCTTCTTTTCTTTCTTTTCTTTTTTTTTTGTTTTTTGTTTTCTCTTCTCTTGGTACATGAAAGGATGGGCGTACACACGCTCTTGGGGCGGTGCTTTTGTTTGTTTCTCGGGTTTTCTTTTTTTTTTTCGGACAGCTTCTCCTTCCCTCCCTGGGGGATCGTATCGTCGTCGTGTTATGACTTATAATCGATGACTAAATCATGATAGGTACATACAGACATTTCCGAAATTAACTCGGAGCGGCGTGCGCTCTTTTTTTTTCTCCCGGTCGGTGAGTTTAGGAGGAGAAGGAGGACTATACTTTCTCTTTTTTACTCTTTTGCTCGAGCCGCTCTGCGTGCTTGGATGGCCCGTGCGCGAAAACTGTAATTTTTGATGGCTCTATCGGGCGTAGGTTCTAGCGTTGTCTCTTTGTTGGCCCGACGTTTTGCAAGAGCAACTCCAAAGTGACATCATCAACTTTCTGATAGTTCTGTACTCCCGGTACATTATTTTCTCGGGTCTTCGATGCAAAACCAACGTGGGGCATTACTGGCGTGTCAAATCGTGTGTTTTTTCGCGGCGCCGGATGATTTTGCGAATTTACGCGCAGACACAGTCATTAGAGCGTCTGGTTTCGCGAGAGAAAAAATAATCATGATTCGGCTGTTGGGAATTGGCTTTTCGGCCAGTCGTGCAAAGCCGAGGTAAGCTTTTCCGTATAACCCAAAGAAGAATTTTGAGCTTATGTTCAACGCCGTGGTTTTTTCTTTTATTCGAGTAAATTGTACAGAGCAACGAGAAATACTATCAGCCAAAAGTAATACCGATCAACAGAGGAAAAGTTCCAAGTCTAGACAATTCGCAGCGGCTGTGTCTGGAAAATATTGTTGAGATTAGAGGGCAATTCATTACGATCTGTCCAAACAAACGTTTAGCTAGACATTACGCGCAAGCGAGGAGTTGTGGTTGACTTGATATGTTTAGGAAGCAATAATTCTACCCCAACAATTAATTGTGTTTCATTTAAAAATTAAAAAAAAAAAGAGATACTTTGTTTCTCCGTCAAACTTTCCTAGTTATACATACGTTTCGCTCAATTCAGAGTAAGGACTACTCGATTCGTTAAATTATGAAAATAATGCAGCAATAATTTGAAGTCCAATAGTTTGGGGGGGGGGGGGATTACCAAACAAGACATTCTCAAGCCAGTGGTCATCTTTATTAATAAATTAGTGGCACAACACTATGAAGCTTTCTATCGTGTGATAAGTAGCTTATCGCATACTTGACTTTACAGCATTTTGAAATCGGAAAAAATTTTTTCTAAGCTATGTTCTACAATAGCTTTTTCGCTACAGAACAAAAGAAACAAGGATATTTATTGATGATCAATTAAAAAAAGGCAAATCGAGGCATCAACTTTTGACGCATAACAAGGAAGATTTCCAAGGATAATTTTTTTCTTTTCTACTTATAAAAATCAAAATCTGCTTATTTTTATTTATACATAATACATCCAGCTGCTTTTAAAAATTCAATCGCCACAGCATCCCGTCAAAAGTACGCACATAATATATAATCACTTGTTTCGGGGTCGATTTAGCTACATATAGGTATATATGAGCAGCAGTTACACCTACACATAATTATACAATCGCAGTGCGCTATGCGACCTTTGATTATTCATTCGTACCTGTGATGAATCGCGTCGGTAAATTTATATAATGTATACAAGATCTACTTTCACCGAAAGTGTTCCCATACGGTTTCAGTAGAGAAACATCGTTATTAGAATTAACTTGTAAAATAAATTTAGACGTATCATCTATACGTAGGATTTTCAGTACTGAGCGTGGATTTGGATGAACGAAATAACTTTGTAGATCAGTGCAAACATTATTTTTACAAATTTTTATTTACTTCAAACAGTTGGGCTACATTTTCAATAAAATACAAGTTTTCAACCTTATAATACAAAGTAAATGTATGAAGAAAAATTTATTGCAATAAATATCGTGTAAAAACATGCATCATATATATATACACGGATAATTTCATGCAAAATAACATAGATATACTACAGGTATCAATTACTTAAATTCAGTGTTTTAATTTGTTAAATTATTTTTTCTAACAAACGTGACGGCTCGTTTTACCAGGACAAACGATCTATATTTGCGAAGACACTGCGATTAGCCACGTATGAAATTTGGGCTACCAAAAAAAATTAAGACGTTCTCTTTCGCACCAGAAAATAAGACAATCATTCCAAGTATCCAAGGGGATAAAGTCTATTTGGAGAAAATGAGTTTACACTTTTTAGAAAAATTCTGACTCGGAATAATTAAATCCATGGGTTTCAAACACATACTTCATAGACATTAGAGTATCGTAATCAGTATAAAACAACCCACACGTATGTATCACCATACACTAACATACATCATAAGTTTCTATATTTTCAAACGAAACTAAAAAATAAAATGTTACAATCCGAAGATAAAAATTAATCTAACCCAGAATAGTAGCCATTTATACTTACATGAAAATTTAGAGAAATACTTAATAGCATAATTTCTAAGATTAAAGTTTACCCTGGTAAACGTGCGTGAATAGAACCCCATAAGTTTATGTAAATCCTATCCATTAAAACAACGACACGACTCGAGTGATCAGAGCTTTCTGTGAACACTATGTTTGTGCTCTAGGAGATTTACGTATTCGTCGAATTTTCATGGGCACATGTTTTGTCAGTGGATGTGTTGGGTTTGTGAGTGAAATTCAAGGTTATCGATGTCACTGAAAGTTTCTGGGCAGAAAAAGCATTGGTAACTGAGCTGATGAGGATTCACACGATTGTTAGAAGCATTTCCAGGTTATGAAGTTGCTAAAAACCTTGCACTGCAGTGGGGCATCTCGTCCGAGTGGATAGTCTGCAGGTGCTTCTTAAGGATGATTTTTTTCGTGAAAGCTTGTGGACACATGGCACAGTGGTAGATTTTCAAAATCACATGTTGTGTTTGCTGATGCTGTATAAGATCAGACTTGCATTCATACGTTTTTTGACAAAATTTGCAGTTGAAGAGCCTTTCGCCCGTATGTGTTCGCTCATGCCTTGTAAGATTGGACTTGCAGGCAAAAGTCTGATGGCAGAATTGGCAGATGAATGGCCTCTCGCCCATATGTGTTCGCTCATGCCTTGTAAGATTGGACTTGCAGGCAAAAGTCTGAGTACAGACTTGGCAGATAAATGGCCTCTCGCCCGTATGCGTTCGCTCATGAACCCTAAGAGTAGACTTTTGGGCAAAAGTCTGATGGCAGAATTGGCAGGTAAATGGCCTCTCGCCCGTATGTGTTAGCCTATGATTTGTAAGATGATGTTTCAATGCAAATGTTTTTTGACAGACTTGGCAGACAAATGGTCTCTCGCCCATATGCTTTCGCTCATGAACTCTAAGTTTAGACTTTTGGGCAAAAGTCTGATGGCAGAATTGGCAGGTAAATGGCCTCTCGCCCGTATGTGTTAGCCTATGATCTGTAAGATGATGTTTCAATGCAAATGATTTTTGACAGACTTGGCAGATAAATGGCCTCTCACCCGTATGCGTTCGCTCATGAACCCTAAGAGTAGACTTTTGGGCAAAAGTCTGAGTACAGACTTGGCAGATAAATGGCCTCTCGTCCGTATGCGTTCGCTCATGAACCCCAAGTGTAGACATTTGGGTAAAAGTCTGATGGCAGAATTGGCAGGTAAATGGCCTCTCGCCCGTATGCGTTCGCTCATGATTTGTAAGATTGGACTTGCAGGCAAAAGTCTGAGTACAGAATTGGCAGATGAATGGCCTCTCGCCCATATGTGTTCGCTCATGCTTTGTAAGATTGGACTTGCAGGCAAAAGTCTGAGTACAGACTTGGCAGATAAATGGCCTCTCGCCCGTATGCGTTCGCTCATGAACCCTAAGAGTAGACTTTTGGGCAAAAGTCTGATGGCAGAATTGGCAGGTAAATGGCTTCTCCTCCGTATGGGTTTTCTCGTGCTTCGTAAGATGTGCCTTTTGGGTAAAAATCTGAGAACAGAATTTGCACTTGTAGGGTCTCTCGCCCATATGTGTTCGCTCATGCTTTCTAAGATTGGACTTGCAGGCAAAAGTCCGAGTACAGAATTGGCAGATAAATGGCCTCTCGCCCGTATGCGTTCGCTCATGAACCCTAAGAGTAGACTTTTGGGCAAAAGTTTGATGACAGAATTGGCAGATGAATGGCCTCTCGCCCGTATGCGTTCGCTCATGATTTGTAAGATTGGACTTGCAGGCAAAAGTCTGAGTACAGAATTGGCAGGTAAAAGGTCTCTCTTTTGTATGTGTTCGCTCGTGCTCCGTAAGATGGGCCTTTCGGGTAAAAGTCTGAGTACAGACTTGGCAGATAAATGGCCTCTCGCCCGTATGCGTTCGCTCATGATTTGTAAGATTGGACTTGCAGGCAAAAGTCCGAGTACAGAATTGGCAGGTAAAAGGTCTCTCTTTTGTATGTGTTCGCTCGTGCTCCGTAAGATGGGCCTTTCGGGTAAAAGTCTGAGCACATACTTGGCAGGTAAAAGGTCTTTCGCCCGTATGAGTGCGATTGTGTATCTTGAGATGAGAAACCGAATGAAAAGTTTTTCCACACCTGTCGCAACAATGGGAACGTTCTGAGGAAGTACCACTAGCCCTTTCCATGGTCCTATGGGATTCTGACAGTTCTTAATAGAGTTATTGGTAAACCAGTAATAGTATAAAAATAATGTATACACAATAATATATGGTATTGATGGATTTGTTGGTGGAGTTGTTATCGTGGCCTTTTTTTCCTTTTCATTTTTTTTTATTTTTATTGGTGTTACAGGAATGCTCTGGCAATCGCGTTGATGACGTCTTCTTTTAGAAATACTGCTATTCTGCAAATAAAAAAAAAGAATAATACGATGTTATTAAACTAAGAACATTTCAAGAACGCAATCAGGCATAGATGCTAGGATCCACAAATATTACCAGAAATGTTTATAGTATAATTACTGCATTATATTAGTTTATTTAAGAGTATATTAATCAAGATTATATAACAGTTTATTTCTTAGTTCATTCCAATAGACTTTAGAGCTTTATTCATTTGAAAATCGAACCATAAAAATGACACTAATAGGAAAATTAAAAAAATGTAAACTATTTTGTTCAAAACTTAGGCAAATGATTATTCTTATTTGTATGAAGTAAGTACTCTTAAAGGAATCGATCGATGATTACTTTTGTTTTATTTTTGTGTATAGTAATAAAAAAAAATCAGATCAATGGCTAGTATTTTCTGTTCTTAAAATTAAATAACGTTTTAGTAAAAAGTTAGTCTGAGGTATAGGAAAGGCAGGGTGAATCCAAAGAGTAAAAAATCCATTTTCTCTGATAATGTAGTTCATATCGTTGTTTTCTCAACTGAGATTAGCTATGATTCTTGCAACATTTATAGCGTAATTGCTCAATAGGATTGCCTCATATTTTTGTAATATGCCCTACCCTTTCTCTACGTCCCCAAAATACGAATAGTAGGAAGACAATTAAGCTTTTTTGGTACTAAAAAAACTTACCTTTCTATATCTTGATTTCTACTAGTCCTTTGAAAAAATAATCTTTGGTCCCTTCACGTAAGTGCTGCGTCGATTCATCCCAACCAATATAATATACACCCAATTAGTAAAGAATGAAAGTTGCCAGGTTGTGTCCCACTGAGTACAAGAATGTATTCCAAAATTTACTTCTCCTTCATCACTGAATTACTCAATAGTTTTTTTTAAAGATGTTCTCGATATGATATAATATCATACACTTCACATGTAAGGAATTTTTTTATAAAAATCTCGCCACGATCACTTTATATTTTAAATTTTTGGGCACGACAAAAACCTTACGATCTGTACAGTCAAACGCTTAAAAAATCAATGCATGTACAGCCAATGAAGTCATTTCTATATTGTAGTACTTGACGATAAGCAAGACATGTTAATAGCATAGTAATGGGCGTTAGCTGTACGTGAACGAGTCAAGTAATTTTAAAGCCTTTATTTCTGGTGTCGTCGGTTTGACAAAAGTTATTGTGCTTGGCGTGTTACTATCAACAAAATTTATAGTTACAGTGTTGCACAAACTTTCCAAGGGCCCATAAGAGAGTGAAATACAAAAAGTACCTATAATTTTAAATTTTCCAGATTTAATGTATAGTTTAGTAACGAGTTTAGGAATATAAATGTTCATTGGAGCTGCTTCTCATGAGTATAAGTTTCCATCCGGATGTTTATACAAAACCATCCATTTATTTAAAAATGTTTTAAGGGTATGTGGCCTTATAATGAAATACGTATGTAAGAGAAACTTCTCAGTGACGGTCTTCCCCTTACTTTTTTTTGTTATTCCAATGATGCGCTTTTTCTCCTTTATCTACTCGAATACGACCCAATTGATGGATATTCTCTTATTGTCCCTTTTTTCTTATTCATCAATAGCATATTACAGCAGTAGAGTAGCCGAGGGCACTTTTTGCATCGCGATAGCCCTTACATTGGTTACATACTCTACAAAATCAAGTCTAAGATACTGAATTAAAAAAAAAAAAAAAAAAAAAAAAAAAAAAAAAAAAACAATTACTTGCACCGTAATGTGTCTTTCCTTCTGTGTATCTATGTAACTATATATTATCTACAATGCATATCCTCAGATGGGTATATATACGTATCTTCACCGCAAAAAGGTAAATAATGCTGCCCCGGGATTATTTTGATGTTGCGTTTGGCTACGTGCATTTTCAGTCGATTCAATACGTGGAAAAGCTAGATTCACGTGCCAAACATCCGTACGTGTGTAGGTGATGGTGATATGCGGAGGAAAATCAATTTTGGACAAAATAAGTTGCTCGAGGGCGAAGGGATGAAGCATTTCGGCATCTGTTGTGCGACGTTTCGAGAATAGCACTTTTATTTTTTAGTAATGTACTTTTAGGATTTTTTGAAACAACTAAGCATACCAACGCAGTTTGGAAAACAACAGTAATAAAAAAAAGACGTGGACTCGTTGAAGAGCAAAACCAACTTGAAGGAAATGTCAAAAGTTTTGCAAAGCAAAAAGAGACAGGCAGCCTCTTCGTGGTTATTCTCTTGAGATTCTTTTTGTTTGGCTTCCACTCGAGAGGATCATTGTCGTGCCAGTACTTGCACTTACTTGGTATTATTGGAGGAGATGCGCCGAAAGGAACCGCAACCTCGAGTGCATTGAATACACCTCTTGAGAAAGAAAAACACTCGACAAATGTCAGTACCCATATTTTTTACTCCCTTTACTTTCTTTTTTTTTTATGTTACTTTTGGCTTAACTGGACATAGCAGGTTGTATCCTTTTAATGGAAAGTACTTTACTACTGTTAATTCTTTAATAAAATATGATGCAAAAATTAATTGCTCAAATTTTAATGGATTGGGCTTCAATCAAGTCAAGTTTTTGCATCAACCACTATGGTACATGTTGTATTATCAACTTGGTCCTCTACCGATCTCGTAACAATAAAATAATTTTTTGTTCCTTTTTTTCATTATTCAAGATAATGCTGTAATGTCTAATCATATTGCAACACAACGTTCTTTGTAGAAGAACTTTACGTATCCCGTACAGTAAGATTTAAAAAAATTAAAACAGGTGATTATTTGGTACAAAAAATAAGACAAGTCAGTTGCAGCGTTGCAACAGCGAGTAAGTGTACGACAGGCCTCGCGCGTCATAGGTACGCGCCGCAATAATGTCACACGACGAGGTGTGTACGAACAGTGTTTGAGCTCCGGTGTGCTCAACACACAGCATCTCAAAAGGTTTTCTATACCGATCACGTTCTGGAACAGCATTTTTATGCTAAACATCGAACGACACCATAGCTCACTGAGAGTATGGCACGCTTCGCCGCTGTTGTACACAACGAGACTGACTACTCGGATATTTTTCACGACATTCTATTGTCCAAGCCTTGTGTACAATTAGTCGCGTGTATGACGGAGATTTCTCTCATCGTCGCGCTATGATTGACGACCAAATCCGTCCAAGTGACGAAAGGTTTTTACGTGTACTGCACATACGAGGGGGAAAAAAAAGATCAATAGATCAAAAACAAAGAAAAAACTCGACATCGGGCAAACAGTCCATAGCCGAGCTTTTGCCGAACATGGCAAAGCGAGTAGGTATATATACATGTAAGCTTGTCTCGTAAATTTATCCGCGTTAACGCGTGCATCACTGTTACGTACAGCGTGAAAAAAAAAAAAAAAAAAAAAAAAAAAAAAAAAAAAAAAAAAAAAAAAAAAAAAAAA